CTCTTCCCTCTTTCTTTCTTTCTCTCCTTTTCTGCTTTTCAGATATTTCTCTCGGTCGAAAAATCTCGTCCGCACGATTCCGCCTGGGGGCCCGTCCTTTTTGTGTATTTTTTTTCTTTCCCCCATTGAGGGAACGTTCTTATAACCCTCTCATCCTTCACAAATAGAAAACCCATTCTGCGAGAAAATTCGCCGTCCTCACGATTCCGCCCGAGCACGCGTTTCTTTTCCAGAAAATCGCCGCCGGCTCCGCCCTCTGATATCGCGCAGATTCAAGGTCACAAATGAGACACCTGCAATACCATGTATAAAATGCTCCCCTCCCCCCCTAGCCCCCTTCCCCCCCTTTTTTTTTACGACTGGGGAAATAAGCGGCCCGAAAGGACAAGAACCTGTCGCGAAAATCACAGGAGATTTCAGATTGCCCCCTGAAACGCCGCCTGAAATGCCCCCTGAAATTCCTCCTCTATAATGCCTACTTCTCCTCCCTTTATTACGTGTCGTTAAATCCCCCTTTCCTTTCCTTGGAGGGAGATTGCAGGGAGGTTGGAGTCTCGTCTCCCTCGCTGCCATCATTCTTATCTTCGTTTCTGATTTGCGATATTATAATATTTATCCCAATTATGCCTTTTTTATTTTCGCATTATTTTCTCTTCGGCTTCCGCTTTTTCCCCCGCCCGTCGCTTAAAAAAAAATTATTCTTGCAAAAGCCCAAGTTCCAATGACGAAATCCCGCCGACAAGATTCGATTCCTCACCGCCTTCGTGATAATCCCAGTTCGCCATGAATATTCCGATCGCCCCGTCGTATAATTCCGTATTTATTCCCCGTAATTGCGGATCTGGGATGGGAATTGGATCCTCGCCGCCTCGAGGAAGAGGAAAATATTTCTCATTTTCTTTTTTCCCTCTCTCTCTCTCTCTCTCCCTCTCCCTCCTCATTCCCTGATTACAGGACTGCGGCGAAATGACACGCATGAATAATAACGATGATGATTATCGCTGGACGTGATATCGCCTGGACCCCGCGCTTGACAAAGAGGCCTCTCTTACGAGCAGGACAAAAAAGTGGGAAAATGTTGCAACCGTGGGTGACTCATTCCGAAAGAGGTGTTGAAGTCTGTCATTTCCCTTCTTTTTCCTTTCATCTCGACAGGCGGTGAACGCGGCTTATCCCCAGTAAAAAAAAAAAAAAATGGCTATAATGCCCGACCCGTCAGCTCTTACCTCTCATGCCACGTCGACGGTCCCAACCTTTCCCCCACGTATTTCGCCGCCTCGCAGTTTTCACAACCGCAGAATGCAGGTCGAATGCGATCAGGAAAATGCCCTCTCCCCCCATAAGGAAAAGAAAAAATCGTAAAATGCAAGTAAGTGAGGGAGAGTGTTCCGTGGGCGGGGACCCCCTTCGATGCCGAGTCATGCAAGTACTTGAACCCCACTCCATTTTCCTCCTCGGCCCTGGGGGCATCTATGCCAAAAGTAAACACCAGAACAAGGTTCCTTGGTGCCCGAAAGAATGGGGAAAAGAAAGAAAGAGAGGAAAGAAGAAGGAAGAAAAAAAGAAGCATGTTTCCAAACCATCTTCGTATTCATGTGGGTTGTGTCAAGCCAAGTAAGGCATGTCTGTGTCTATGGGGGGAACCAGTTCCATGCTTGAGTGAATGCGTTGCCCCTATATACGGCTCCTGCCATCTATCATCTCCCTCGGATTCAAAGGGGTTTTTGAATTTAGATCCTGCCAGAACGAAAAGGCGACCGGGTGCCCCAGCAAGAGGAACTATCTTGGTTTTGTCTGTTGTTGCCGAACTGTTTTTGAGCAGCCAAACAAGTCTGTTTCTTTTTTTTTCATTTCATATTTTAATGCTTTCTTAATATGGTTTTATCTTTTTTTGGTTTTCTTCTAGTTTTATCTTACACGGGCGATAAACGTCCTGACATTGACTTCTTCATATGTCACTTTTATGTTCCTGGTCCACATTACTTGTACCCTGATCTCCTTGGGGTATAAAGGACCCGGTCTCATGCAAATGAGGCGAGCAACGATATTCATGTCCCGAAATTGTTTTCCATGATAATATAGAATAATGAGGCCGCATTATCGAGCATTATACCTTTGAACCGGACTAGAGTTTTAATTTTATTCCTTTTTTTTTTGCTTTGGCTCGTGCTGTAATTTCTCTTCGGATCCACCTAAGCACACGTTCGTAATGTGCGCCTGCACATTCATATGCATGCAGGGTTGCTGAAGGGGAAATGATAGCTTTTCACGCTGGAGGACCGAAGTGGACCGACGAAAAACCCATGGATCCCCCTTATAATCATAGGGTTCCTCCCCCCGTAATTGCACTGTGTATCCCTTCCATCGTGCAGTATGTGAGGGAATTCTTTTTTTTCTTATCCCGACAAAATCAATGCACGTTGGACACGCTCTACTTCTCTTCCATGCATATTAGTTTTTTCTCTTCTTCCAATCTCATCGGTTCCCGATACGTCTGGCTCCATTCCTGCTATTTTTATGGAGATCGGCCCGCATGCGTGTGTGCGTGGATGAAGAATGGAATGTTTCCCCCGTCGAGAACAATGAAATATTTCCACGCACGTAGAGTCAGAGATGTCCCATCTTGTTCTGTTCCCCAACGTGTAGAAGTCACCCTGAGACCCCCAGATAGATCATGCCGCTCTGACAACCCTTATGTCGCCCCAGCAACCCTCAAACCACCCCGACAACCCTTAAATTAGAATCGTCTTCCTCTATACAAATACCGGAAAGGAAAATAGATGACTCTGATCGCATTTTGCCTTGCTCAAGAAGCCACACGATAAAAGATATCATGTATCATAAATTGATATTGATGAGAATAAGGATATTAGAAGACTTGTCTCTAGAACGAAGTAATCATTAATCGCGGTGTATCAGGCGACACGATCTGACAGCCGTCCTCTTCCAAACAATCAAGCTCACATATTTTTTTTTATCCTCGCACACCCGGATATTTATATATCATAAATAATCCTTCTCAAAAGATGTGACTGAACCGACCTGCGGTCTGTGACACGAGCCCCATGAAATCTTGGGATTCCTGTCGTCGATAGAGATTGGGTTTGTTGGCTGACATGACATGGCGACAGAGCATGGTGACATGACAGGGATGCCCGTTCGTCACGGGGCCGTGAAGGAAAATTTAACTCCTTTCACTTTCTCTGATTTGTAGTGGTCGGGCACATTTTTTCTTGACGGGGACGTGTAGGTGGAAACATGATTTTCCGCTAGCTTTGATTGATTTGAACGTTTTTAACGATGCAGAGACGTGAAATCGAGAGAAATATGAAGACTTTTCATTATACCGTTTACTATTGTTATATTTTATACCAGAAATCCTCGAGACTTTGGAGTTGCTACCAGGTGCTCCCAACGTGTGGGGGAGGCAGAATTTAAAAAATAGAAGGTCTAAAATTTTGTTGGCGGGTTGCCCGAAGAAATCCTCTTTTTCTTTTTTTGTTCCATCATGGGCATGAGAGCTATTACACAGTGGTGTCACGCTTAAGAGCGGGATTAAAGCTTTGGATTGGGAAACGCTCCGCCCTTCTCCTGCATGGAAGAAAAATGGACCTATCTAGAAGATATGAGATGCCCCGAGGGCATTTTCTCTCTCCGAGATGCTCTCTTTCCTCACATCTCTGTAGATACTGTATCTATCGGGATATTCCCTGCTCACGGCAAAAAGCCTTCATATTTCCAGCCTTTCTCTCCTTTCCCTTTCCCCTCATTCATCACTCGAATTATTATTTCGCTGACCTCTTGATCGTCATCTGGGATTGTTTCGCTTCATTGTTGCGTAGCCGCGGAAGGGCGCCTCGGAATGAGGAAATTATTTTCGCATTTATGGGTCAGATTGTTTCATTTCGACTTTCTGTGCTCGATTGTCTGAGGAACATCAAGGTCAAAGGCTTCCAGAATTCAACCCGAAAACGCATTTGACCCCGACCCCAAAGGGAAGACAAAGGCGAAAGAGAAAGATGGTACCATTTGGGAAGTTCTTTTCAACGCTCTTTTGTCTGTGTGCGTCCTTAAGTTTCGGGTTCATCTTGAATCTTTGTCCTTCGTCTGGAGGAAACCATTACTAGAGGGCTTTCCTGTTTCCTTGCGAGTTTCCAAATCTGTTGAAGGACCTTTAAAAACAAAGAAACAAGGCACCTGACCTCGGTCAATGGGATAGCCACGGTACGAGGGCATGAAAAAAAAACACACGCACACACACAACGATCACAGGTGTGTTAAGGAATTCTATTGAACTGATGTCGACAGAACTTTGGCAAGTTCACAGCCAACTGGTTAGACGACGAAGAATCCTTGAAACCGAGCCTCATTCTCAAGTCCCTGTGCAGTGGCGTCTTTGGGAAGAATGTCAGTCGATCCGCGATTCCTGATCCCCTGCTGCCGTCCCGATCTCCAAGTTCTCTGCCAGGTCGTCAGTCACCTGGAGAAACGTGGCAGTCAGCGGGTTCGAGGAGCTTGCCCTCTGCTCTCCCTCGAAGGCCATCCTGTCTCGCTCTTCTCTCCCTTGCGTTCCCCGAGAGGGAAGAGCTTTCCCAAATCCCTTCTGGGGCGATCGACCCGCCCCGGAAGATCTAGTCTTCTTGGTAGAGAGCTCGGAAGTACCCAAAAGCCGACACGGTTGAATTACCCCATTGCACCCTGGTCAGACGAAGGAATTATCCTTCCACCCAATCCCCCCTGGTTTTCTGGCGCCTTAGCAGGAACTTTTCTCAGGGTCGATGATATCGAAACCCGATGCATCGTAAAACTGAAAGAGCCTCACTCGTGGCCCCAATTACCGCGGGAAATAAAAAAATTCATGAACACATTTATTTTATTATTTTATTTTTCTTGTTTCATTTGATAATATCACTATTGTGTGCTTCGATCCGAAGCCACGAGTGAATGCGGGCATGAATCTATGACTAATGGGTATTTCTATTTGGATTGGATTGTTGCAGTGATGGAGAATGGACGTATGGAAGCGAGATGAAAGTGGGATGAGGATCAGGGTGTGGGAAATCGAGAGAGTGAGATCGAGAGTGACAGATGTTGATGACGATCATGTCCCAGTCCCCCGTGACCTCGCCCCCCCTGATGACACAAGGCCGGGGGGCGCCCTTGCCCCTGGATGCCCTCCCTTCTCACTCCACCTCTGCCTCTGCGGACGACGATGACGGTCAGTCGCGGCTTCCTCGCTTTTTTTCTTTCAAGCTATTTTTCATCAGAATGGCGCAGATGGCTCACTTTAACTACGAGGGTAGACATTTTGGCAGGAAAGCAGAGTCTTGGCACAAATAACAGCGTCAAATTTTACATGCCTGTGCTTGAAAATTCCTTTTTTTCTATTGGATGCACATATGTGCCAACCTCCTCAATTTATCTGTAAATGTTTGTGGGTTGCTTTGCTTTTGAGCTCCTCATGTAAATAATTGTTTATGTAAGCATTTTATTGCATGTTATTATGAACCATTTTCCAGTAAGATTTTCCCCTGCATTTTTCTCTGTTCTGGTCCTATTTCGCTCAGGTTTGATCAATTATATTATTACATTTCTTTATGAATTTTGACTTAATATTAACATAGAGTTTTAAATTCGGTTTAATTCTCTATTCTTTACTGAAAAATCGCGTGCATGCTTGGGATAATGAATCAGGATGGAAGGAGAAGGCCCATTCCCTTGGGTTAATCCAGATATCGTAATTACCAAGACAGCCCGCGAATAATTTTTTAGTAAAAAATGGAATTCCCATGTGCAACAGATTCTTGCTGCACAAACGACTTGCAGATGCCTTTTCTTCCTGTTGATTAACATTGTTTCATGTCGGAACGAATCCCTCGTGACCGGCCGGTAATTTTTCCCTTTCGCCATTCCTTATTTTTTTTTGTTGGGCATTCACAAGACGAGAAGAAGGAGGAATTATCATAATTCCGGGGAAGCAGTAGTCACAATACTTCTCCATCTATCATCCTCGAGCGGCGTTTCAATAAGACGGATTCTCCCCTCTCTTTTTTTTGTGTTCCTTTTCCTCCGCTCTCCATACCTCCCCCTTCTTATTATACCGAGAAGCGTTCCTGTTATGTTGCATCGCGCTCCTTTCCAGAGATACGTCGCCACGGGCCTTCTTCTTCCTCTTCCATCCTCCGTGTATTATCAGATTTCTCGGGTCACTGCGTTTTTTCTTCTTTTCATTTCGTCAAAAAAAGGCCTCGGGCTTCGCCTAATACAATAGACATTCCCATGAATGTTGGAAGGAGAAGACGGTCACACATAGTAGTCACGGTTTGTCGGAATCCCGTCTCGCGGGTAGGAGGGAAAGGAACGAAAGGACTCCTACAATTATTACGGACTTCAGTGACCTGATGGTATTTTTACAGGACATCCCTGTAAAATCCTCTTTTCTCCCATTGCCTCAGGAATAAACATATTAAAAAAATAGGCGACTATTTTACTTCTTGCACCATATGATGTTAATGAGAGGTAAAATGAAAGGTAGATGAGGAGGAGGGAAATGAGATTTAAGATTCAGTCTTCCTTGTTTTGCGAGTCAGTTTTATCGAAACACGTTGGTAAGCCAGTATTTCCATATTCTGAGTCATTTTCGTCGTTTGAGACCAACCTCTTCAAATTTCTGTTCCTTAAGAAAAGAACACACTTTATATAGATCATGATTGCTATTAATATCTGTATGTACAGAAGATCCGTACACAGCTATCATACTCATGCACAATGCATTACGGATCATTTAGAGATAACAGTAAGTAATGAGGGAAAATGCTCATTCAATGTAACTCGGATGGATAATAAAGATACAACTAAACCTGACGGTCGTGACGTGACGTAATTGACTTGTGGGAACTTTTCTGGGACACCCTGTGTGGATGCAATCATATTATTGGAATTCCTAACGATCCCACGCTCGGAATTCCGTCTCCCTGTGACCCTATTCTATGTGCGACTAAAAGAAGGGTGTCTCCTAACAAGAGACATTCCTTTAACTGGTTCCCACATACCCAAAGGTGACTGAGGACATGAACTTTTTTATGCTGTTTTATTTAATAATTTTTATTTATTTAATTATGTATATTTTTGTTAACTAGACGGTTCATCGTTGCAAGAGGATAAACGGCATTCCCCGGAGCCCGCCCCACTCCCCCGTCGAAACAAGAGGAAAAACTTCAAGCCTCGGAACATCAATTATCAGTACGAGGAGAAGGAGCTCGAGGGGGGAGGGGAAGAAGGGGAGGAGGGAGAAGAGAACGGGGAAGGAGGATCCCTGGACTTGAGGAGCGACGATGCCCTCCCCATGGATCTCAGCGTGAGGATGGACGGCGACGACGAGGACGACGGCGACCTGGACGAAGACGACGACGACGACGAAGAGGAGGAGGAGGAGGAGGAAGCGTCGTCCAAAGGAGACGAGGGAAGGGTCGCCGGGTCGACAGCGAGGATGGCAACCACCATCCAGCAAGAGTCGGCCACACGGATCAAGGCATACGCGGAGAACACGATGCAGGAACTGCTGAGGCTCTGGGGGCTCCCCGATGCCACCGCCCGCTCCATCACCCAGCAGGTCCCTCTCGTCAATTTCCAACCCGGTTCGTTCCTCTCTTCTCTCTTGATATGCCTGTCATGTTAATATCATCCTGTCTAATTCCATTAAAGACCCACTCAAAAATCCCTTTCAATATACTAAATTATTCAAACGACATATTCAAGCAAGAAATAGATGTGTTTGTTAGTATGTAGGAAATTCAGTATTATTCTAATATTAGAAATTTCGCAATTTCTGCAGCTGTTGTCAATTCTATAATTTTCATAATTTTTAAATTGTCATTTTTATATTTTTTATTATGAATTGGCATTTTGGCCATTTCTGACGTAAATTATATCGGTTCTGTAATTTTGTAGGTTTTTATTATTGCAGGATTCTTAATGTTTGCTATTTTCGAAAGCCCTGAGGTTGTAATTTGTCAATCATTCGCTACTCCCGTCAGTCTTTAAAACCATCTTGTCGATTCGCCACGCTATTTCCTTTCTACTCGGAACACGGAGCTTCGGCCGTTTCACTCGGAACCTGCCAACCAACTGTGAAATTCAATTGCTTCCCTATACCCAGATCGTTTCTTATTCACACTCTCTATGTGCATGCTTATAAAGAGATTTCACGGAACGAGATAGACAATGGCAACGACAGGCGCTCGTCGCCCATCGATCATATTAAAAAAAAAAAACTCGGACCGGATGATTTGTTTTTTGTTCTTCGCGGTAGGGAAGCGGTCACGGGAGAAGAAAAGAGAAGAGAAAAGCCAGCTTTGTATGTTGATACGTCTCCGAAATTTCAAACGCATCCTTTTTTTCTATCCGATTCTCCCTTTGTTTTCCATGGAAGAAAAATCTCTCCGTTATCACTTTCGGCCATCGGGACTCCCTTTTTTTTTTTTCCCTGGAACCACACAATGGAACCTGAATCTCTCACATACAATGACGCATTCTTCGATGATCTCTCTCCGGATTCCTTCCCCGGAACTCAGTCTTTTTTTTTTCACTTGCGAAAGGACATCTAATTAATCAAATGCGGTTAATTTCCTATCACGTGTCTCGAGGATGGAAGAGATAGGATCTTTGGCGATCACGGATTTCATGCCTGACCCCCGGTGTCTGTGCAATTTTTCCCGCCGCTCCTCATTTGCGGGATCATTAACAGTCTAATGAATCTCCCGGACCGGCCATGCTCACTCGTACCCCACGAAGTCCTCAATAATTTATTTCGTGCCATATACCTGTTCAATGTAAGAAGCTAGATCAGCCTCGATATTTCTAATAAAAATCAGTTCCAGGATTCCAAACAGCCGTTGCGGTTTAGGGGAAGGCGCAATTCCTTCTATCTATAGACGATCGTCTTTTTCTGGGGGAGGGTTACGGTCGATAAAAATCCCCCGAGGGCATAGAAGGATGGGATTGGATCGGAATGTGGGACGAAACCCGATGGTTAATGTTCATTTGTCATCGCTCTTTGCCTTTCTCGATTTGGAAATCCCTCTTTTCTTTTTTTTTTCTTCCTTACCTTGATATCATTCCGCTAATGGGCTTTACGCACATACATACGAATCTCCCCTTTTCATCTCGTGATGCAACACGCCATGTTGATGATGATGATGATGATGAAGGCCTCGCATCTTAATTCCTTCCGCCTCGAGCTCCAGATTTTTCCCTTTTTTTCCCTGCCATCCATCATTATATTGTCCGAGTCGAACGTGAAAGGGTTAAAATCCTCTTCTTATCTTGCGACGAAGGGGAGAAAAAAAAACTGGAAAAGGAGATCAGAGGATATCAATAAACGTCAGGATCATGAGCTGGTCCGAAAATGGACATTGTCTTCAAGAAGGTCCATGTCATTGCCCTGTGCCCTTCAAAGGGAATCTCTCTCTCTCTCTCTCTCTCTCTCTCTCTCACTCTCTTTCTCATTCATCCCCAAGGGTCAAATCGAGGAAACAAAAAAAAACTCATTCCCCTCTTTGTCTGGTTTTGTGTCATGCTCATTACATCCCCATGATTCCTCGCGCAAAAAGACCCCCAGATTCCCAAGGGGAGGCGTCGCTGTTATCATACCTATCAGCGGGGATCGCATAGCGGATCGAATGGACAGAGGGAGATAGAAATAAAAATGGGGAGTTAGGCATTACAAATGGTGGAAGTGGGTATTGTGTTGGGAAGAAATCCTGGCTGGCGCCGAAAACCCCCGGCGTAATTTGACACACACGAGTCCTTGTTGAGTACTTCTTCCATTAGTAGAAGTACTATATATTTAAATTACAAAAAAAATTCCTTCGTTTCATGGAAGGTTCTTAACTCTCCGGAATCGTAAAATCCGGGCGGTTTATTCTCTCTCCCCGGTTTTATGGAACCCTTACTTTTTCTCGCAGAATTGTTAATTTATTTGTCTGCAAAAAAATGTTTTCGTAATGAAATACTGCCCGGTGATCCCTCGCCTCAGTAATAAAAAGAAGTCTAATTTTGTGTCCTTTTTATGTCGCCACGTGCCAGACAGAAACCATGGAGACAATGGCGTGGAATATCCCCCGTTCAATTCCCTCCCGAAAATTGACCTGCCTCTAAATATATATGAGCCGTGCACGTCGGACTTTTTTCTCTCTCTAGCAATATAACCTATAGTGTAGGTCGAAGCCCCTGGAGGCTCTTTTTTTTTTTTTCTCGGTCGAGGATAATTCCTTTTCGTGAGAAGCTCATCTCGTCCTCCTTGATAAGGGAAAATGACTGTGCGGACCACGCATGGAAGGTCAAAGGTCACCTACTTTTCCAGATTCCGTTCAAAAAATTATACCGTGCTCCTTTCTTTTTCCCCCCTATCATTTTAATGGTGCCTAATTTTCGCGCTACGGTGCCTCGTGACTCTTTCGACGACGTTTCATAAAAGCAAAACCTCTCCTTCTCTCATCCAAGTTTTCCCATTATAAAGGAAAAGCGGAAGGTAAGCAGAATTTATGCCCTTTGAGATGAAACGAATTCAAGAACCTTTTTGAGGGGTTTTTGGGAGGAACCCTAGGTGGCGTTTTGATATGGTGCCAAGGTCGTGAATTATATCAGAGAGAGGGGGCAATATATGATGGAAATGTGAAAGAAAAAAAAGGAAGAAGGAGAGGAGCAGGTGCCTGTGCTCGGAGCAATGAGTGCAGAAACCCCCCATGGGCAAGAGGATCCCATAATATGGAATTTTTTCTTCCTCCCCTCCATCGAATTCCGGAGTAATCTTCGTCTTCCTCCTTTTCAGAGGAGGAAATTATCTCCCTCGCCTTGTCCCCTGTCTGTCTGTCATATAGGGAAAATAATAATCTTTTTCTCGCATTTCCCTTGGGGCCCATCGCGGAGAGAGGGGTTAAGAACAGGAGGATGACAGGGGATTTCTGGAATATTTGGGGCAAGGTGTTGCGCGAGGAAAGGAATGGCATGGCGGTACTTGAGAGAGAAAACGGGAGCAAATAGACAATGATGAGGGGGTGAGGACACGAAGGCAAACAATACCAAAGAGCCTCTTTCTATGCACAGGCAAACATCCATATAACGTGTATGGAAGCACCTGGGAGGTCGCGTGTGTAGAAGGCGGTCAACAGTACTGTTAAAACGCGGCGCATTATAATGTAAAGAATTTTTTTATTCTCGCTGCGGCGTTGAAATCCCTGCTAGGATCCGGGCGTTGAAGTCTCCAGTGTCGAGATCTGATTGGATCCAGTGGGACGAGGATGACGAATCGGAATCTTCGTCTCGGATGACGTCACCCGTTTCACGGTACACGTTTGAGAGCGCTTGCCGCTTTTATGCAGAAGTCAATCGGCGGGAGGCCGCAACAAGATTCGGCTCCCTCGACGCTTTTATGAGCCTCCTCTCTCCGCATTCTAAGCTGGCACATCTAGATTTTATTCCTTATGACAAAAACGATTCTCCTCGCGGAGAAAGGGAATCAGGGATGTAATTGGATTGACAGCCCCGAGCGAAGCAATTTTGGGTCATTTACGAGCGCTATAAAATCTCTGGCACCTGGTCGTCGTCCCGGAACGCACGATTCAGTCATATCACATTACAGGAGACTTTGGCTCGTAGCATTTCCACGAAAATTTTGGGGGATGAAGGGAAAGATGGTAAAGATGGTATTGCATGTATGTAGTGTGTGTATGTGCGAGTGTAACCTGAAATCATCATAATGCAAGGCTGATGAGAAGAACCGTTCTGCCCTCGGGTGAAGGGGGAATGGCGAGAAATGACCCTTTTATTATCATGGGCACGAAGATTTCCAAGTTGACTGGCCGGATGCGAGGAAACCCTGTCTTTTGCTAGGGTGGAGGTCTGGAGATGTCAGAATTTTGAGTGGCCCCACTCGCATTGGGAACACACGCAAGCAGTATTTGGGTATAGAATACATCTGGAACACGAGGAATCGAGGGAAACATTTCGAAGATGGACGTTTTGCAGCAAGAAGTAGACCAAAAGTTATTCGAATTGGATAGAAAAATGAAATGAGAATGTCTTACCAAATTTTTATGTGTGAGAGAGATGAAGAGAATGCGATATGGCGTGAGAAGAACCATTTGCCCTCGTGTCTATAAATCATCGTGTCGCCATATCGAGCCGAAGAGAAAGAAAAAATGAGAGCATGCATCTCGTGGGAGTGAAAGACAAAGGGGGAGAGAGAGAAAGAGAAAATCTCATAATATCGGAACGGGTACATTTATATACGTGGATATGGGCTCTGTCTTTCTTTTCCGAGATAATTTAAAGGGGCACAACGTTGATTGCTGTGGAAAGGTCCCGACCCTCGTGAGAGAGAGACTCGGGGCTTTTTAAATGACCCAAAAGAAGAGAGGACCTGCCTGGATCTCTTTTTTTTTTTCTCTTTCCTCCTTCACACGGAGGTCAAAGCCGTGAGAAGGTGCAGTCCTCCTCCCCTTTTTCTTCTTCTTTTTTAATGGCCGCCGTCTGTGGAAAAAATCGTGTCGTTCCTCAAATGATTGGGGTTCAAGGGGTGACAAAGGGCCAAAATGCGGTGACGGGGTACCGCTACATTTGTACTCGGTACTTGCCT